CACTGCCTCATGGGACACAGCTAGTTAATGTTAGAGGAGACATCCAAATTCTGCCCCAGAATCAAATAAGCCATGCCCTAAATTCCTGACTTTGCATTCTGTAGGAGCCGCATTTATGACTTCAAGTGAATCACAAATTGAATTTAAGGTAAAATTATTTGAATTTAAGGTAAAAAGATACATTATCTGGTTTCAATTATCAAAATCGTTAATACCTTTTAGAAGTTTTAAATGGTGTCTAATTCAAAAACTCTGATTTGGGAATAAATGTTTTTGGGGGGATGTGATTTTTGGGGGGGGGGTGTGATTTTTTTAAATGAGTCATTAGCCAAGGAAAGAGCGGGCCCCACCTCGGGCACACACCCTGCTGATCCCATACACATCCCTAGCACCTGCATGGTTAGAACCACACCTCAGACCCAAGCTGCTGACTAGCAGTTCTTCAACTTGCAGCGAGGTAGGGAGGGAAGGAAGGAAGAAGGAAGGAAAAAAAATGAAGGGAAAGGAAGGAAGGAGATGAATCCTTTTTTCTGACAGTTTTTCTCAGGAACTGAAACGGAACTGCTTACAGTTACACATATTTAAATTGTAGCATCTACTCGCTGCCATCTGCTAACTTAAAACTCTTCATTTAAAATACAGTAATTCTTCACCCCACTGGCAATCCTCCATAATCTAGGCTTAATCTGAGGAGAAGGCGCTATTCCGTTTTGATCTAGTTCCAATTGCAAGACTCAGACGTGAAGGCGAGAGAGTGGAGCGTTAACTTCCTGACACGAGCCTCACCTGCGAAGGCTCTTCGGCCTCACTAATGTAGGCGGGATGATATCCGAGGGCCCTAGTTCTGGGGTAGGATTTCCTAAGGCTAGAAACCTAAGGTGGTGTCTGTAGGCTTCATCTTGCACCGAGGCAGTTTGGCAGAGACGTGACTCCGGCATGTCCAGGAAATGAGGAGCCATGGGGTCCCTTCATAGATGAGTGGCTTAAAATACAGGAGCAAAATGTAGCAGTTATTGACGTTTGTACAGACACTCATTTTTCTAACAGCCAGGAGTTTTTCAATAGTTTTTAAAAATTTCCCCCAGGGGGTCCAGTGAGGGACCAGGGACAAGTGCCACCTTCACAGTAAGAGCGTTTGTGCTTTTGCTCTTGAGGCTTTTTGCAGGTACCCAAGAACACTCCTACTCAGTTTTCCCTCCAGGATCCTTAATGGTTTTTTGTTTTGTTTTGTTTTGTTTTGTTTATTTATCTGTGAGAGAGAGAATGAGAGACAGAGAGCACGAGAGGGAGGAAGGTCAGAGGGAGAAGCAGACTCCCCGCCGAGCAGGGAGCCCGATGCGGGACTCGATCCCGGGACTCCAGGATCGTGACCCGAGCAGAAGGCAGTCGCTCAACCCGGGACTCCAGGATCGTGACCCGAGCAGAAGGCAGTCGCTCAACCGACTGAGCCACCCAGGCGCCCCCCTTAATGGGGTTTTACAAACTCTCCTGGGCTTGCAGCTTCTCACTGAGGGAGGCAGGAAGGGCTCTATCTTCCTTTTGGGAGCCTCCTGCTCCCACTTCAGGCAAGAATGGGCTTTTTCCAGGCTTTTTTGTTAGATGCTTGAGGACCTCGGGGCCCCTGGAACCCACAAGACAAACTGTAACTTGGGGTCAGATCTTGTATGCCAGGTTCAAATTTTACAGGGTAGGTGCCACCGTGCCAAAGTTTGATATGACTACCCTCTCGTGAACCATGGCCTGAGGAACACCCCAGAAAGTCAGTCTAGTTCAAGAATAGGCTAGAAAGATGACACACAGGAAAAATAAAAATTCAGAAAACTCTTTTTTTTTTTTTTTTTTAAGAAATAAGGAAGGATAGCACAGAGGAAAAACGGACACAGAGTGAGGCCGAAGCAAGGGCCGAGTAGGGAGGGAAAGCCACGCGGACAGAGCCCGAGTGAGGATATGGCTGCCACTAAATTCTGAATCCACTAATGACAGTGGAGGTTTGTTAGGGGCCAAGCCCATGGAAGTTCTGTAATTGAGTTCTCGTTCTAGGAAATGTGTCTGAGTTTTTCTTTCTCCATCCCTGAAACTTGGCTCCCAAGGAGGGAGGACTTTTTGCAGAACTCAACACAAGGTGGCGCCAGACACCCGCGGACTTAATGAGGTCCCCCTTCCAGGTGGGCGCCAGAAGCTTTGCGAAAGTTCCCTGAAGGGATCAATCAAGTCAGTCCAGATTCAAAGGAAATGGAGAGCTCTGAATCCACAGAGAATTAGCCTACGGATAAAATAAGGCACACAGAAATAAGATATATATATACGTATATTATATATATATATATGATATATATATTATATACACACACATATATATGTAAAAGATGGGGAGAAGTAGCACAGAGGCTAAACAGACAAACTGAACCTACGAAACCTCTGTAAAAGGAAAATAAAGGCACGTCCCTGCGAATCCCTGGCAGGCCAGGAGACGGGCAAGTGCAGAAGGCCTGGAAGTGAGGAGCAGCCAGTAAAGGGGCTCTTGCAGATGTCCTGAGGGGATAGAGTCGCAGCTTGGGCCAGGGACTGGTGGCAGTGGAGAACAATGCCTTCTGACTGAGGTATTTACATTCACCAGTATTCTTCATTGACATGGTGAGTCAATAAACCCAACATGACTGCATAACAAGACTCAATTGAAATGCATTCTATTCGTCTTTTCTGAGAATTCACTGTACTAGCTTTGCTCTTTTTATGGGTTATTGTGGGCTCATGACATTTCAAATGTGCTGATGTCAGCCAGTATTCTCATTTTGATGCTCACACTGGCCCAACTTTGGCCGGTGGGGACCCTTTTAGCTTTCAAATGCCCCGGTTATTTCAGGGTTTGCTTCTGGCCCAGCAACGTGTTAGGTGTTCTGAGATTGCCTCATAGTCTTCTGCCCCAGACCAGACATGGGATCAGACATTGTTCCAAGAAACCCTGGTTCCTTTTGGGAGAGAAATAGCATTAAGAACCATAATGTAGGCATGAGGGTGCATTATGTGCGTTATGGGGTAACATTGCTACTGGGCCATTTTGATGGGGAAAAAAAGCCAGAAAAGAAATATATTTTAATTACATGTTTTACAAAGGCATGACTTCATATTGATATGCTCAATTCAGTTCTAACAACACACTGCTCCCACTCAAATTTGTGCATCTACAGTTAGCCTTCCCTTTCACCAATCTTGAAATCTAGGTTCCTATCAAAATAAACATAATTATTTACTTGCTCTGACAACTTAAGAGAATAGTTCCAAAAACAAACAAAAATACACTATCAATAAAAATAGTACAAATACTAAATAAAGTTTTTGTTTTGGACTGCAGACTCCTAAAGATTTGTTGCCAAAGTACTCGGTTCTAGAGCCACTTGTAATCTCCCCACCTCGTGTGGCTATATAAGGATGGAACTGAGAGATAGTTGTGGTCCACTCGTTTCCATTCACTTGCACTTAGAGGAAGCTGCAACCTGCCCCCACCCTTCATTTTCTGCTCTACCTTTTCATTTTTCATAGGACTTGTACACTCCCAATATACCAGATCATTCACTTTTAAAAAGTAATTGCTATCATTATTTGGTTTTGTATTATTTTGCTGTTATTCTTTCCCCTTCCCCCGGTGGAAATGTAAACTCCATGGAGCAGGGGGGTTTTGTTCAACTGGACTCTGAAAGCTGTTCCCTGAGGACAGGGCTGAGAGAGCTGGGCTTGATTCTGGGGGCAGGGGTTTTCTACAGGGTTGAGTGCAGAGATGCGCAGTCTTCCTGTTCTGTTGTAGTTATTAACTGTGCCCCTTTTCACTCCTTAAAGTGTCATAGTTTAAAGAGCCAGGTGATGTGGGTAAAAGGAGAGGAGGCCTGGGGAGTCAGGATATAAACACTCCAGGAGGGAATAACCAGCTGCAGAGGAGGGAGCCCCTCTACTATGGGGAACTAGCTCAATCTCTAATGCATGGCTGGACCTCAGTAAATGCATGTTTAGGAACTGGGAAGACAACAGAATAATAGAGAGAAATTTTTATATACATATATATGCCAGCAGGAATGGATAAGCATTGGGGCAAATTGTGAGAGGCACTCAAGCAGAGGGAAATCAAGGGTGATTTCTGGGTTCTAGGCCTGGATAGGTGACAGAGGGATAGCAGTCCCAGGGCGGAGGGGCAAGGAAGTGGGATGGGGGAGAGTGATGACCAGGATAGTGGTATAGCCTTTATTTTTGCACACTGAAAATATGTTCCCAGTTTAGGCTAAATATAAAATTAACACATACTCTTCATGAAAAAGCCCAACAACACAGAAGCATACATGATGGTACTAAGGAAAAGATCTTCAGCACTACCATCCTTCTGGAGAGCCCACCCTCTGGCTACTTGAGACCCCACCAGGAAGAGAGGGGGTTGTAGGCCTCTATCTTACAGGAGAAACACCTGGTTGAAGTAGTTAGATTGTCCCCACCTCTGGGCTGGCTGGAAGGGGCCCAGGAAGTTGGTGTGGAGACAAACCAACTCAGAGGCCCCAAAGCTGGGGGCTAAGAAGGGAGGCACAGGCCTTGCCCATCAATCCCTTCACTTCTCAAGAAACTTCCCTCTCCATTCCTTCTCTAACCCTGATTCTTTTCCTCACCTGGTAGGGAGAGGGGAAGGAAGAGGCTTCCAAAGGTGGGTCCTGGATGAACATGCTGGAAGGGGCTGAGGACAGACACCCTGAGTGAGCTATCTTAAGGAGGAGAGGTACCCAAAGGGATTTCCTGTGGAGCACCGTGACCAGGTGAGGCTTTGGCCAGCTGCACCGGTCAGGGTTCTCATGAGGCCAGAAGCTGCCTGCCACTCTTTCCCTGTCCCATCTCCTACGTCCTCTACCTGGGGTCACCCCCACAACTCCTGACCAATGGTGGCCTTCAGGAGCCTCTCACTTTGATGATGTAACTAGAACACCAAAGATCACTTTTTTGGAAGAAACCAAAAAGATTACCCAAGGTGACCCCTTTCTCTTTTTAATTCTATACTTTAACAACTCTACAGGTGAAAGGAACACAGCAAACACCACATTTATTATCGACATCCTTCTGTATTCTCTCCTCGAACACACACATTCTACCTGCTGCCTTCAGTGGGCATATGTTATTTACCCTTTACAATATCTCATGTATGCACAGCACGTCCCATTTTCCACGGGCCTGTGGCCTCCTTCTAGGGCATGTATTGTAGAGCTGGCTGAGCCATTAACCCCCGCACAGGCATTTGGCTTGAAGTGAAGTCAACACTGTTGTAGCCAGCCTTCCTTTCCTCATCAAGGTTTCCTCTAGGAAAGTGGGCTCTCCAAGTCAACTGGTGGAAAGAGTTTTTATCATTCTCATTACAATTTTTATCCTGCTCTGCAGAAAAGTTGAACCAATCACAATGTACAGTACTGCCAGTTTCCCAAAGCTCTGCAAGTGCCAGATATATATAGTGGTTTCACAGTTGTATGGTTAATTCCCCCATTTTACAGATGAGAAACTGAGGACCAGAGAAACCAAGCTACTTTCTCCAGGGTCATTCAGTCAGTGAAGGGCAGACAGACCTAGTTCTAGAGGTCTCATCTCCTGACCCCCCTCAGTGCTGTGTCTGCCAAACCAGTCTGCCTCTGACAGTCGCCTCTAGACATGGACACAGCAGGCTCTTCTTGCTTTCCTTGTCCTTTGTTGGTGGTGGAAAACAGCTACAGGGCCTTCCCCCTCATGGCTCCTGTGCCGTGCCAGTCAGATTCTCAGTTTCAATGGAGACCTTCCCCAGCCTGCTAGAGCCAGACCCTGAAGGGTTCCTCAGAAGACAGCACGGCTGTGGCACAGGCTTCCACCTCTTCCCTCCTGCAGCTGATTAACTTCTGGGGTGAATTGGTTATTTTCTGGAAAAAAAAATAATTTTCATCACTATTCATTAGAGGAATGGTAGCAGCAATAGGGTAGTAGCCACAATTACAGAGAATGTCACAGAAATCCCAGCTACTTGGTTAACTTTCAAGCAGCAAAAAACCCCAAAGGCAGTTCTAATCCCTGGTTCAGGGGCTTCCAACATTGACTTTGATCATCCCCCAGTTCAGTGACCGGCAGATCTCTCAGGGCCCTGATATGTCAGTGTTCCTCTCTCTGGGACGCTGCCCCACAAAAGCCCAGAAGGTAATTCTGGTCAAAAAAATCTAACCTTCCAGCAGAGAACTCTGAAAATAATGACCTGGGGTGAGATGCTCAATGTACAGCACATGGCAGTGTGCCCAGTCCAGAGATGGGACTCCATAAACAGGAGTCCCTTCCCACTCATATTCATGTTCCTACCATCTTCTCTCAGCAACCCCAATAAAAGGCAGGTGTCAACATTTCAGAGAGACTCTCCCCACTGTTGCTAGCCTGCTCACCCCCACCAAATTCATTAGGTTCTTCTACAGTTCTTTCCCATGGCCCTTCCTGTCATCACTCCAAAGAGAGGCACATGGACACAGCAAATAGGCACAACGGGTTCCTCAACCTCTGTCCTGGGAAACATTAGCTTCATGGAGCCAGGGGCCCTTGATCCTTGTTTGTAAAGAGGCGGCTGTGGAGCTCAGGCCTAGTGTTCATGAGCAAATAACAGGGAAGGACCACATACACACAGGGTTCACTGAGGGGGAGTGTCAGTGTGGAGACCATAACTCACTGCTGCTGTTCTAGTCAGATCCTTAGGATACCAGCCACCTAAATCTGCAGTCATCCTATTTGATTATTTTTTTAACTTTAGAGAAGTACTGTCCAATGGAAACATAATTTGAGCGATATAAACAATTTAAAATTCTCCAGTAGCACATTTTAAAAAGTAAAAAGAGGGCGCCTGGGTGGCTCAGTTGGTTAAGCGACTGCCTTCGGCTCAGGTCATGATCCTGGAGTCCCAGGATCAAGTCCCGCATCGGGCTCCCTGCTTGGCGGGGAGTCTGCTTCTCCCTCTCCTGCTCCCCGCTCTTGTGCTCTCTCTCTCACTCTCTCTCTCAAATAAATAAATAAAATCTTTAAAGAAAAAAAAGTAAAAAGAAACAGGTGAAATTAATTTTAATAATGCATTTTATTATTAAAATAGTATTTAACTTATGATCTATATAAAAACATTAATGCTTTTTTTAAAATCCGTGTGTACTTTACAGTACATCTCGATTTGGACTAGTTACATTTCAAGTGCTTAAGAGTCACCTACGGATAGTGGCTACCATATTGGACAGTGTAGTTCTAGAACATGAAAGTAAGACACATAATCTCAGAAGTTCAGAAGATGTAAAACTATTGTCCCATAGGTTAGAATAAACTTTCAAGCAAGGTTCAGTTGATTTTTTTATTTGAATTACTTTTCAACATTTAAAAAATCAGGAGATCTCTCATAAATGTTTGGATTTCTGGCTTCTCATTTAAAACTTGGAGATCTGGTGGGGTGCCTGGGTGGCTCAGTCAGTTGGGCATCTGACTCTTGATTTCGGCTCAGGTCATGACCTCGGGATCATGAGATCAAACCCTGCATCAGGCTCTGCACTCAGTGGGGAGTCTGTTTGGGATTCTCTCCCTCTCCCTCTGCCCCTCCCCAACACACACACACTCTCTCTCTCTTTCTCTCTATAAAATAAATAAATAAATCTTAAAAAAAAAAAAAAAAAAAAAACCTTGGAGATCTGGTAGCATTGGCTCACATTTCCTATTAGCAACATGCTAGAGCTGAAAAACAGCTGCCTTCTTCAGCTGAAACATGTTTGTCATGGTCCCTACCATTTCCCCCTATCCAATTATGTTCACTGCGGTGCACGCTTTGTGTGTGTGTGTGTGTGTGTGTGTGTGTACCTCTCTGGGCCTCAGAGGCATCAGAGCTCACAAACTCTACTTTCTATGAAGTACACAAAGCCAAACCTGGGATGACCCACTGAAGAATGACTAACTTGGAGCCGTCTTTATACTTGCTACCTACATTATAATGGAATGTGACAGCAAAAAGAGAAAGAATAAAGTGAGCCACAGCAAGGAAAGGGAGACCCTTTAGTACCAAAGCCTCCATCCCCATAAAGAAATGATGGATGAAAGACAATGAAAAGAAATAATACTTTAAAATAGGGACTATACACTGAGCATTCTTGATGTAATTTTCTTTGCATATATATCTTTGCTCTAGACTATTACTTGGTAATATAAATTTGAATGGAAAGAAAATCTTAATGGTGTATTTCAGAGTGTAACCATCACCAACCGTGAAATTATAGATGTAGACATAAAATGTTTAATCCAAACAGATAAATTAAACACACACTCAATAGGGATTTTTGAAGAATTGTCAAGGATTTCCACTTGGTAATTTCCCATGGTTTAATTGGAAAGATGCATGGGTTTTGCAAGGATGGCTGGAAGTTACTTTTTAATACTTTGGAGGATTATCTATAACTAAGGTAAATGTTGCAGTGCAGCTAGGCTATGCTAAAGTCAAGGCTGAGGCAGAGAAGGAGTAGTGGTGACATACAGCTCCAGAATCTGTTTGGGATTTAATGGACACTAGTGATCAATTTCTCATACAGCATTGTGGGAAATACATATACTCAGAGAAATTGTCCACTTAAAAAATTGAGGGAGAAACAATAAAAATTAAAAACCTTATGGAAAGAAATGCACATAGAATAGACACTAGAACAATGTAGGGAGGATGGTAAGGAGAACAGAGAAGCAAAAGGTAGTCAAAGGTAGTGGTATCTATCTCCAATGGATGAAAGTGGCCACACACTCTTATAGAATATCCCTATTTCTGGTCCCCTCTAAAATTGTTAGGTTTTCTCCAAAAGCTATGTATAGGGTGTGGCTCATAATGTATTCGGATCCCTAGGAGCTCTTGCCATTTAAGGGCTCTTCTTGTGCACCTGAAATTCTATAAGCAACTGACCCTTTACATGGTTCTCTCCCTGGCCCTTTGCTCTGTCACTCACTATGGGTCCTGGAAGGATTCTACTGCCCCTGACCCTGAGGTAGGGAGGAACTTCTGCTGAGCTGCTGAATGTAGACCCAGAAGAAGAAAAATGAGAGAGGGTGTTAGGAATGGAATACCCTGTGAATAGAGGGTAAGCATGAGGAACAGAGTTGAGAGGAAAACCATAAAAGGTGACTAATTGATGGAGTTCAGCTAAGGAAGGCTGAATTTTTTTTGCCACATGTGGAAAAGAAGAGCTGTGACCACCTCAGCCAGGGATGCTCCACTCCCATTATCATTTTGGGTTGGTCCAGGACCTCTTCTTTGACTCCAGGGTGCTGCTTCTACTTACAGTGGAGGAGCACCAATCAGACCAATCCTCCTACAGATAATAACTTTAAAAACTGATCAAGGGGTGCCTGGGTGGCTCAGTTGGTTAAGTGTCTGTCTTCGGCTCAGGCCATGATCCCAGAGTCCTGGGATCGAGCCCCGCATTGGGCTCCTTGCTCAGTGGGGAGCCTGCTTCTCCCCATCCTCTGGCTTGTGCTCTCTCTCGCTATCTCTGTCTCTCTCAAATAAATAAAGAAAATATTTTTTATTTTATTTTATTTTTTTTTTTTAAGATTTTATTTATTTGAGAGAGAGAGAATGAGAGACAGAGAGCATGAGAGGGAAGAGGGCAGAGGGAGAAGCAGACCCCCTGCCAAGCAGGGAGCCGGATGCGGGACTCGATCCCGGGACTCCAGGATCATGACCTGAGCCGAAGGCAGTTGCTTAACCAACTGAGCCACCCAGGCGCCCCAAGAAAATATTTTTAAATAAAAATAAATAAAATAAATAAAATAAAAACTGATCAGAATATAAAATTAACTTCCTTAAGTCGCTGGCAAGCAACCAAAAGTTGGCACTTGGTAGGAGGTAACATCACTGGGTGAGTTTCACAGTTCCTTGTCTGAGGGCAAGTCTGAGGTGCCACAAACAGTGACAGATACAGGTACAAACACAAAAGTTAGAAAGTGAGAGGACCGGGGTTAAGTGTTAATGAACCAAACATTCCAATTAAATGGCAGAGATTATTGGAATGGATTTATTTAAAAAAAATTTTTTAAGACCAACATATGCTGCTACAAGAGACATACTTTAAATATGAGGACACAGATACGTGTCGAGTAAAGATGTGGAAAGAAGATATGCCACACAAACAGTAAACAGTGCAGAGCAATACTGATAACAGGATAAGGAATATTGCCAGAGATAAAGAGGAACATTTCGTGATGATAAAAGACTCAATTACTGAAGAAGACATGTCAACAATGTATGCAACCAAAACAGAGCATCAAAATACATGAAGGAAAAGTTGACAAACGTAGAAACAGACACATCCACACTCCTAGTTGGAGATTTTGTTGTCTCCCTCACAATGACTAACAGAACCATACCAAAATATCTGAACGGGATTATCAAACACTTTGACCCGACTGATATTTATAAAACACTACTCCAACAAGTGCAGAATACACATCCTTTAATGGTCCTGGCAATTTTTAGCCCTGGGGTTCTTGGCTGAAGGGGAAAAGGCCCGCCCTGCCCCGCTGTGTTCACACCATGGTGCCTTCATGGTTAGCAGTGAACCATTTAATCATTCAGAGTGGCTGGCAGGGCGCTGATGAAATGCACATTGGTAAGCAATTATGCAAGAGGAAAAATGAAATGAGTCAATGTACGTAAAGCCTTAGAACAATGCCTGGTGCTTAACTCTGCCCTAGAGTCGGCTAAAGTTAGGACTACATAGAAGCGCTGGAAAGAAACAGAGAAATGACATTAGGATAACAAGGTGAAGGGGTGTCCTGGAGAATGGGTCACAGGGAGGATTACTCCCCCATGCAGCAAGAACATGGCACTCACTCTCAGGGCCATGCGGATATCACAAGAGTGACTCCTTCCAGCGTGACTCCAGGCTGATAAGGAACTACAGGCAGTTCTGAGTCTAGTTGCCTCTGAGACGCCGACTGCTACCTCCCTCTTCCCAGGAGAGAACTGTGAGAAATCCCTGAGGTGACAGGGATGGGTTTGTTTGTGTTTGGTTTTGCTCAGTTTTGTTTTGTGCTGCTTTATGTATTGAGGTCTAGGGGTGGGTAGAGGGCACAGGAGGTAGGAAAATGGAACAAAGGGAGCTGCTGGAGGCCTGCTTTTGCTTTTCTCCCACCCTGGGGTGGGCACAGGACCTACCTGCACTGGAGACTCAAACGTGTGGCCCAGTGCCCACAGTTCATGCTTCACACAATACACTTTGCCCTGGGAACCAATGAGGCTCTTGGCGTATGAATTGAATATGTTGGGCTGGAACATACTACTGGATGTAGCTGCTGTTTTAATTATGGCAAGGAACCAAGAGTCCTTGCAGGCCAGTCTAGAACAGTAAGGCTGCGCGTGACTCTCGAAATGCCGAGCATCCCGGCTGGCGTAACACACCTGCTCTCCTGGCTGTGCCAGGTCCTAAGGGCAAGCATCAGTGGCCTGACGGGAGCCTGAGGACGGTCACCACTCCCTGGAGAAGGGGGTTCTCTCCCAGCCCCACTGATTAGAAGTGAATTTCTATAAATCCTCTTCTCTTCTCTTCATGCAAAAGCTTGTAAAGCCACAGACTAAGGCTCAAACCGCATCTGGTCAGCGTCATGCCAAAAGGAAAAAAGAATACCATTACCAAGGTGTCGGGGAGCACCACCACGGGGCAACAGGAGTTCCGGAGCAGCCGCCCCATTTTCCAGACGGAAAGGGGCACAACCACAAGGATCAGCATGAAGCCAACAAACGCAAACAGGGCCAGCACCAGGGGGAGGGTCTCTCCTAGAGGTGAAAAGATGAGGGCAATCTTAGGAGACAACAGTGAAGATGAACTCACCAGTCCTGGCCTGTCTCACTTTCCTGGAGCTGGCTCTGCATGTCGGCTGAGATGGCAGATGCCAACATCCTGAGATTTGATATATGCCTTAGTGACTAAAATTACCACCATTAAAGCCATTTTTTTTTAGAATTCAGAGGAAGGCATTGTTTCCAGAAAGCCCCAGGGGAGACTGAACTCTTGTTCTTGGGAAGGGAAAGGGAGTTAAGCCACTGGCTGTGTTAGCATGAACCTCGGTGCAGCTGCCAGGAGGAAGGCAGAGGGCCAGGGCCCCGGCAGGATGAGGGGGAGGGGCCGGAAGAGAACAGCACCGAAGGGAGCTGGGCGGTAACTGAAAACAAAATGTGTTTCACAATTTGCTCTTGGCATTGACTCACATTGTGGAGGAGAATCCTGACTTCGGAAAACAGTCACGTGGTAACTGCGAGCCATCAAGCCCCTGCTAATTGTTATGTGACTTACCCCAGGTCACACAGGCAGCGCTGGCTCCAAAGCCCAGGGTCATTCTACTAAGTAAATGTATCGGAAAGTGCCAGGTGTGAGCATCTGGAGATGCAGAAGGGGTGACCGCTTACGTCCCCATCTTGCTGTTCTATGTAACGTGGAGCAACTCCTGCAGCCCCTGTAGGTCAGACTACTCACCCACCATGTGAAGGGCGCACGGCCAAGGAGGCCGCAGAGAAGATGGTGGTATCACATAGTGGCCGGGGGCACTGTGCTTTCTCTCAATGCTTTTGGAAGATACTTCGGCAGTACCCATCAAGAGATAAACAAACGTTCGCACCCTTTCATTTACTCCTCTGAGTGGCTTCCAAAAAATAGTTTCAAGGAAGGAAACAATTATATGCATAAAGCAGTTCCTAGCAACATCTGGATTAGGGCAACAGCCTCCCAACCAGTCTCTGTCCACCCACAGCGGCATACCTCCACCTCCAGGCATGCTCTGGTGTGTTTTGTTCATAGCACGTCCCACCAAGTGAAACTATCTCATTTGTTTACTTGTTTGTAGCCTGTCTCCCCAGCGAGAGGATAAGCTCCTATGAGGGCAAGGACTTCCCTGCTGCATCCCAGTGACCAGGCCAGCATTTGGCACACAGTCAATGCTCAATAAGTAGTCACTGAATGAATGAATCAATCAACCAAGGAACATCATCATCATGACCTAAAACATAGAAATGATCTAAATACCCCCAAATAGGAGATGATTTAATATCTTATAAGACATCAGCACGGTAGCTCAGGAAGTCAGCTATTAAAATGGGAATTGGGATATAACCCAATTTGTTCACCACGGCATGATATAGTGGCAAGACTGGAAAGCACAGAATATATCTGTTAGTAGGAGGATGGTTGCATCTATTTTGGCACATCGATAAATTCACTTATTATGCATCTTCTTTAAAAAATGAGGTAGATCCACATGTACTGATATGAAAAGATGATCCCAATATACTTCTAAGTGAAAACAAGTAAGGTGCAGAATGGTAAGCACAGTACAGTCCCATCTGTGCCTGTGAGCATTGGTATCACACAACGACGGGAGGATTAAATGTCAAACCTGTCAGAGGAAACCTCCTGCGTGGTGTGGGGGAGAATGGAGAACATGCACCTCTCACTTTACATACTTCTGTGTTGTCTGAATTATTTTTTTAAGATTTTGTTTATTTATTTATTTGATAGAGAGAGAGCACAAGCAGGGGGAGCAGCAGGCAGAGGGAGAAGGAGAAACAGGCTCCCCGCTGCACCCCTGTGTTGTTTGAATTCGCTAACAAACTTGACCTAAATGATTTTTTTTAATTTTTTTTTTTAAGATTTTTATTTATTTGCGAGAGAAACAATGAGAGACAGAGAGCATGAGAGGGAGGAGGGTCAGAGGGAGAAGCAGACTCCCTGCCGAGCAGGGAGCCCGATGCGGGACTCGATCCCGGGACTCCAGGATCACGACCTGAGTTGAAGGCAGTCGCTTAACCTACTGAGCCACCCAGGCACCCAACCTAAATGATTTTTAAAAGTAGCATAAAATAGTAATCAGAAAATCCATGTGGAAATATGATGGATGTGATATTTGTGAAAAAGCAAGCACAGAGTGTGTGTGCAACATGACTACAGTGTGTGTCTATACATGGACGGTGATGGAACAATCACACCACCTTGCAGAGCAGTCTGGGAACAGCGGTCCAAATTCAAATGTGCATGCCTCTGACCAGGCAGCTCTACTTCCAGGAATTTATCCTTCAAATATATACACACCAGCAAAATGATCCATATACAAGGTAATTAATTAAAGCATTGCCTGTAAGAGCAAAATATTGGGAAAAAAAGAAACGCCCACCAATGAAAGACTAGTTAAATTTGTTATCCATCCATACAACTATATACTGTGAGGTTGTAAGGAAGGATGAGAAAGTTCTTTATCAATATGGAAAAATCTATAAGATATATAAAGCAAAAAGGACAAGATCCAGAACAATGCATAGAATATGGTACCATCTGTGCTAAAAAGAAGGGAAATATATATATATTCTCTCATTTATTTCTTATGCATTTAAAAAGCTTTAGAAGGATGGGGCACCTGGGTGTCTCAGTCAGTTAAGCATCTGCCTTTAGCTCAGGTCATGATCTCAGGGTCCTGGGATTGAGCCCCGCATCAAATCCCACATCAGGCTCCCAGGGAGTCTGCTTCTCCCACTCCCTCTGCAGCAGCCCCTGCTTGTGCTCTCTTGTTCTCTCTCAAATAAATAAATAAAATCTTTTTAAAAAATAAAAATAAAAATCTTTAGAAGGATATACAAGAAGCTAATGGGGGGGGTGCTGGAATTGCAAGGATTGGGGAAGAATAGAAAGGAGTTTCCACATGTATCTTGTATTTTTTGAATCATATGAAAGTACTAAATTTTTTAAATAATAATTCTTTAAAGATGAAAAAGTTATACACAAAAATGTCAGTGATATTTGAGTAGCAAAATCGTGGGATGTGGGGTTTTGTTTTGTTTCTTTTCAGAGGAATTTTTAACACTGTAGGGTTTCAGACTATAAAAAATTCAAGGGCTGTGGTGCCTGGGTGGCTCAGTCGGTTGAGCGTCTGACTCTTGGTTTCAGCTCAGGTCATGATCTTGGGGTCCTGGGATCGATCCTGTGTCAGGCTCAGCTCTGAGCGCGGAGTCTGCTTAGGATTCTCTTTCCCTCTCCCTCTGCCCCTCCTGCTCATGCTCTCTCTCTCTAAAATAAATAAATCAAATAAATAAGTAAATATTAAAAATTGAAAGAAGAAATATTAAGTCAAACAGAACTCTGTAGACTTTCCACCATGTCCCTTCCAGCGGAAAGCAGCGGTGACATAGAGCGGGGGGCCTCCTTGCAAGGTCTGACTCTCATACCCCTGGCTGCTCCTCTGGCACCTCCAGCCCACTCTGGTTCCCAGGCCATTGCCATCGGGGTAAACCAGACTTTCACCACACCTTCACCACAGACACCCACCCGGCTGGGGGGCAGGTCAGTGAACCCTAGGGGAAACTCAGAACCAAAGGACCCCAGCAGGCAGCCAAGCATCCACCAGGAGGGGCTGTGGCCTGTGCAGGACTCCAGGGAACAGGCAGGCCATCCGTACCTTGCACCTTGACACACTCTGCCTGGCTGAAAGGACTGTGCCTCCTGATGGCCTTCACGAACGTCTGGACCTTCACACAGTATGCAGCCCCTGGTTCCATGGTTTCCAGGTGCACCGGAATGCCCCTGCTCCTCACCACTTTGACATGTTCCTTTAGGAGACCAGAAAACAATTACAGCCTGGGGGGAGCAGAACAGGAAAGGGCAAGAAGAGCCAAGGAAGGAAAGTTCTAGATACTTCCTTTCTGGGATGCATCGAGAATGTTCCCTCTCATTCATTTATTCAGTCATACTTATTTATTTATTTATTAAGCACCTCCTACATGCCAGTTTCTATTATAGGCCCTGAGGTATATAGCACTGAACCAAAAAAGTGCCTGTTCTTGTGGAGCTGATGTGGGGGGCGACAGACAATGTGTGACACATGTCAGGGGGTGATGGGGCTGTGAAACAAAAGGAAGCAAGGCAAGGAGGTAGGAAGAGGAGGAGGCACTCAACAGAGTGGTTAGGGAAGTCCTCTCTCATAGGGTCACATTTGCACAAACACCTGAAGGTCAGAGACCTGATGAGCCGGGGGCGTGGCATGGCCAGTGCTGCCTCAGTGCTGCATAGGAGCAGGGGAGCTGGCGGGCTATGTCTGCTCCCGCGTTCATCCATCTACCCACCTGTCCATCCATCTGTATTCCCCTCCATCTCCACCCGCCCACGGAAGCCTGGGCTCCACGTTTGAACCTGTGGAGGCTTATCTGGGCCAAGCCCCCGTGACTCAGGGTACATGTTCCTCTCCCGGCCCTGGCCCTGCCTGTTACCGAGGCTGAGGAGTGGGCTCCATCCCAAAGAATCTGAGGGGGCTGCATGCCTCCTCCTGCCCAGGTCCCGATCTGTCCGTCATACTACTCCATCTGCCTGGCTGGCAATGTCCTGTCCTACCGCTGGGCCCTGACCCAGCAGGAATAAGTACCGGAAACCATTGTTATTGCTTGCCCCACCTACACGTATCACCTTTCAGGGGATCCTCCCTGTCGAGTAGGTGGAAGGACATGTGCTTTGCACCCCAGATACTGCTATGAGGTCAGGGGTAGCCTAGGCCAGCTCTGTTCACAGATTCCATGAAAGCCCCTTACTACATCCTATCCAGACTTATAATAAAGCCCGTTTTCCTTGTGCTGGCAGGAATAGCCTTTGCAAATCATCCCGGACAGGGTGTCCAGCAGGTCTGACTATCCCTCAGTTCCTGCTCAAGCTCTAGCCCTTCTGTTCGTTTGGCCAATCACTCTGGGAGTGCGGACATCCCACCCAACCCAGTCGGCAGCCAACTATCCCACAGGAGGATGGGCAGTGCCCCACCTAGGCATTCTGGGTGGCCAATTAGCTGATAATCAGACAGGTTTATTCACAAGCCAGCTCCTGGCTCTCTGCCCTGACTTCTGCACCCTACCCAGATACACACCCTTGAGAGGCTTGTGCCAGTCTCATACACTTTTGAAATCATCTAGATGACCTGGAACACCCTGGTCTGCTCCACCTAAACCTGCCAGGGAGAATGGCTGAGAAGCCAGGCTGAGGAGGGAGAAGAAATGCACTGAGAGGTACTGTAAATCGTACTATGTTTGAGTTTAGGGCAAAGAGGCAACGCCCATACTTCAGCAAGTCTGACCTGAGCCTGCGGCAGACCCACACAATTCTTTGAAGAGGAGGCTCTAGGATTGTCAGTGTATTCACATCTCTCCTTTCCCACCCCCCGCACCCAGGCCTGCTCGTGCTCAGGCCACCCCTAGATAGTGAGCACTTCAGGGGACAGCTTTCCTCACCCACCTCTCAGAGGTCTGTGTCTCCTTCCCTGAGGCCTGACTCCAAGGCCAAGGCTGGAAGTCTCACCTTGGCACCAGGCTCCCTCCTCCAGTAAGCCACAAGGAACTCAAACTGGGGCCCCAGGTCTTCCAGCTTAATAACCAGGTGGAAGCCATCCTTGGTGACCTCCATCACAGGCGGTGTGAGGGTGGCTGTTGGCAAGACAAGGGGAGAATCAAAGCCAGTTCCAGACAGGGCTGGTTTCTGTCCTGAAAGACCAGAACCAAGTCATCAATAGAAACATGCTGGGGTGTAAGGAAGGGGGCGGGGTGTGGATGGAACTCCCCAGCATGCAGAAGCCATACCATCATCCCCCTTATCTGAGATCTCGCTTGCTGGGGTTTCAGTTACCTGTGATCCGGAGGGAAGCCCATGGTCCTCCTTCTGATATATGCTCAGAAGGTCAATACACAGTGCCTGAGTCATTCCCTTCACTCCTCCCCTAGGCATTTTAGCATCTCACATTATCACAAGAAGGAGGAGGACCAGTCTAGCACAATAAGATAACTTTGAGACAGGAGACCACATTCACATAACTTTTATTACAGTGTAATTGTTATAATTGTTCTTCTATTATTATTGTTGTTAATCTCTTACTGGGACTAATTTATAAATTCGACTTTATCCTAAGTATGTATGTACAGGAAAAAGCATAGTATATATAGGATTTGATACTCTTCTCAATTTCAGGCATCCACTGGGGGTCTTAGAATGTATCCCCTGCAAATAAGGGGGATACTGTATACCAATACTCTCTTGTATTTAGCAGGTACTCAGTAAATGCTTTTTGAATGATGAGCAAATTTTTTTTAAGTGACAAAGACTTAAAATACAATTCTCTTTTTTCACTCCTCTCCTTGACCATAGTAAAGTCTTCTGCTCCTTCTTCAGGAGGCACACATACTCAAGAAAAGTGACTGAATACTCAGGTAAACATCTCTTTCTGTTTTAAAATTTTATAACCCGTGCTCCTCTTTTTACTTTTTTGGCAGAAACTGTTCCTCACCCTGACCCATCTAAGTGAGCAGATGCTATTTCTTAATGCTTGCCAAACACCTGCATGAGCTGAGGTCTATATTGAACAGTTGGGTCCTTTCTTTGCCCCTTAGGAATGAACATTACCTGCAGGGACATGTGTATCTCTGTAGCTCAAAGAGATCAGTAATATATACTAGCTGCTGATGACTTTCAAGCATTAGGAAATCAGCAGCCTGTGGATGGATGGGCCATTCTATTCTCAGTCCAAGAATTCTTCACTTCATATTTCTAAGGGGGATGTTAGAAAGTCAGAGGGCTTTACAAATTCCAATAATCAACTCTAGAAATTACAGCTTAAGCACAAACACCCATATTTCACATTGTTGGATCCCATACAGGATGGCCAGCAGCCGCTGTGGATCCTTTCCCATCAGCAGACCAAGAACAGAAGGGCACACACAGGCAGCCTCCAGTCCCTGGCTACTGATGACGGATCCATACTGGCCTGTCAGATCTAAGCACTGCGGGACCAGAAGGGTTACCCCAATGGTTGGCCTTGGCTTGGGAAGTGCAGTGGGGTGTGTTCTGGGTTAAATCCCCCTGCACTGGGGTCAGGGGGGAATTTAGAGGAAAAGCAGTTCCTGGGGGGAGTTTTTGGAGAGCAGAGCATTTCCTGGCATTTGAAGAGCTGCCTGGATAGGAGACAGGAGACCTGGGGAAGTCATAGACCAACTGTGCAAAACATAACCAGTTCAGTTCAGAAGCTTCAGTTTTAAGTAAACATGATTAAAACTGGATCCTCTCTTCTCCAAATTTATTGAGAGTAGAATTAGAGAAAAGGGCCTAACATCATTTCAGTTCAGAGGAAAATTTCTGATGGCATTGTGGCAGGAACCTCTGTCCTGTGACTCTACATACTTATTTCATCCATCCAGCAGGCTTGGGAAGGCACACACTATTCCTGTTGTTCAGATGATGTAACTGAGCCTCAGAGAAGTTATGTGACTTGCCCAGAGTCACACAGTGAACAGCCAGAATTTGAGCCCATGTCTTTCCACACTTGTAGACTCTGCTGTCTGGGGGTATTTAGCCTCCATAGGAGTGGATCTCAAATCCAGCTATATATGAGAACAACCTGAGGAAATTGTAAACTCCCAGTAACAGAATGCACACAGATCATTTAAATTAGACTCCCTGGGGATGGGCCCCAGACAGGTGGTTCTAAAGCTCTGCTGTAACTGGGGAATGTGTAATCAAGGTGAAGAACCTCTGCTCTCAACAAGGCTTCCCCTGAAGAGGAGAGCCTTTTCAGAAGAGCCTTAAAACAAGATTTTTCACATGCCTGCAGAGAAGTTGGGGTGGCCTTTTTCAAAGACAAAAGAACAGATGTAATGCCCCTATAGGAGTCAGGACTCCATCCTCACTCCGTAGCTAACTCTGCCTGCACAGGGATCACATAGGATGACATCTTCTACCTTCTGGTGCAGATCCAGAGGCTCCTTCCTGTTCCTCAGCTTCTCCTGCAGTAAGACCCTGTTTATACTGGTCTTCTCAGGCACAAGTTATTACTGCACGCCCCTGCCCATGTAGTTTTACAAGCACTTTAGCTCCATCTGACCTGTACCTTCCTTTCCAACAATAGCTGCCAGTTCCCAGCAATGGTCTTGACTAGAGACCCAGGCTCCTAGGAGCTGAAGAGAGGTGGTGCTGGGTGCTGCCTGGGCACTGAACCCTCCAGTGCCCCTCAGCCTCCCCCAGTGCCTTGCACTGGGATCCCACTGCCTCTGCTGTATCCTCTCAGTGACTGGGGAGAGACGCCTGGGCAGAGAAACCCACATTTTGCACCAAAATTCCTATCGGTATCCCATTCTGGTGGTCCCACTCTGCCCCCACCTCTTCCCTCCTCTGCTCTCTGGCTCTCGGCTCCAAGCATCCATTGGGCAATAATAATAGAACACTCACCAATAGCTGAGTGCTATGATAGGACAGCACTGCCCTGAACATTTACACATCTCACCTTATATAGTCCCCAAAACCACCCAGCGAGGCCCTACCTACAGGTGAGGAGGCAGCGAGTCAGCTATCGAGTGGCTGAGCTGGGATTTGAATTATACCTGTCTGACTCAAGAGGGCCAACTGCCCCTTCAAATCTGTCTTCACCTTCCTCGGCCCCTTCCAGCTTGGGCTCCCTGACCTGCTGAATCCTCCTGATTTCTACCCAATCTTATATACTCCTCAGTAACGTTTGACTCATCCTATTACAATAGATGCTGCCCCAAAACTTTCTTTGTCCTCACTCACAGCAGAGGATCTTCAGCTACATCAAGAAAACAGAGATCACCAAAGGCCTTTTCCCTTGCCTTTCCCCCAGCTCCAACCTGGTCACATTATTGCCTGTGCCTCTCAGAGGAGGAGCTACCTTCTCCTTGCCCCCTCCACTCAATCCTCCACCTAGCAGCCCCACCGCCATCCCTAATATTCCATGAAGCCATTTTCCCAAAGACCCATTTAGGGCCCTCCTTCAGACCTATCAGCAGCCCTTCTTCCCTCCATGATGCTACCTGCCATTCCCTCCATTCACTTTTTAAGCCCCGAGGTTTCCCAGGATCCTGTCCTGGGTTCTCTTTGTCCTCATATCTTCTCCCTGGACAATGTCATCTGTTCCCAAGCCTTTAGCTATTAATTTTGTGTTGTATCTGATCTTGGCCTGCCTGAGCCCCAGGGCCTGATTTCTAGCTGCCAATCAGACATCTGTGGCATCTATCTTATAGTAGCCTCGATCTCAAAGAGCCCAAGGCCAGGAGTGTCTCCTATTCCTCCTAGGTTTTCTGTCTTGGATGATGTTCTCACCAACCACAACTGGAAGCTGGACAGCATCATCGTCTCTCCCCACTCCATCTCCCAATAACTGGTTCCGAAGCTCTGTCCTTTCTAACTCATCCATGTCTCTCAAATGTGTCCTCTCCTTCCTGTCCTGTCCCTCACTTCTAGGATCAGGACCAGCCTTGGCTCAGCTGGAATGACAATGCCCTCCTCACTCTTCCCCTGCCCTGCAGACTTGTCCCCAGTTCACTTTCCACACCTCATTCAGAGAGATTGGTGTAGAAAACAGACCTGGCCTAAACCCCCTCTTCTTCCATGACTCCCCTCTACTGATTTTGAAAAGTTTCATGTCAAAGCCCTTCACCACGTGACCAGCCCTTGCTCCTGCTGTTCCCCAAACAAACACACCCTTTTATACACTGGCCATTAGTTGCACTCTTGCCATATTTGGCCACGCATCTGGATTCTTCCCATAGTTTTTTCTCACTCATTCTCCAGGTACTATTACTGTAGAAAAGTTATTCATTTCCCAGTGACGGTTTCTGGTGAGTCTGATAAATGTATAGATCCTATTGCACGAAGAAGCTGTTCACACAGGCAACAAAGACAAGGTTAAGGAGGCACCAGATGGGAGGCAATGTAAGATGTACTGAGGCATGATCAAGGTAGGAAGAAGCAGTGCTAACTCTACCTCCCCACTTCAGAACAGCTTTCTTTCCATGTTCCCCACCACCTGCAGACCCCGACAGAGACAGTCAGGAATGACTTCCAAAGTCTCTTTCAAAATGAGAGGGTGTGTGGGAAGAAGTTGGTAATTTTTTAAATGGACCCATTAGGACTGTGTGTGTTCATGGTACTCTGGCTTTGCAAGGCCAATTTGAGGCTAACAAGAATCCTGACAGTCTCAGTGAATTTGGTTCCTGAAGATGAGGCCAATGGGAGTGGGAGAGTAAGAAGAGAAGCGCCTTACTTGAGTTTCGGTTAAAGGGATGCTGCAGGGTGCTCCAGGCTGAGGTCTGTGAGCCCAGGGTGGCCCTGACACGGAGCTTGTACGGCACAGTGGCAGTGATGTCATCGGTGATGTCACACTCAGGACCTTCAGTGGGTGAGCACCAGCTGCCGGGGATCCAGATGTGGCTCATGTACAGGCTCTCATACTCTCTGGCCAAGAAGAGCAGGGCACAGCGTCACACCAGCCCCTTTTACACAGGCTCAATGACAGGTGCAAGTAACTGCTTCATTCACCTACTTTTTATGGGTCAGCAAAGCAAGCATTTGCTCCACACTCCAGTTCCTCCACTCTCATCCCTCACCAACCATCCATTCTTTCTTAGTCCTTTTATCACCAACCAAGGGAAACATAGGCGTAAACCCCAGTCTGTCCTGGCTTCTCCATCTCTGCAGCACCCCCTCAATCTCAGCTGCTGTCATCCCTGGCCTTGCTATGGTCTCCTGACTGATCTTCCAGCTTCGACTCCTGCCATTCTTCAAACCATTCATCACTCAACAGACCGTGACATTTCTCTCCTTACTGGCTTCCAAAGCACTCAAAATGGAATCCAAACTCTTTCCTGTGGCTGGAAGACTCTCTGGCCTTCTCTCTCACTCTGCCCCTAAACATGATGCTCCCTCTACACTGGCCTCCTTGCCATTCCTCCCACATGCCGAGCTCTTGTTACTGTAGGACCTTTGACTGCCTGTTCACTGTCTCAAATGTTCCATCCCTGCTGTTCATTGGTTGGCTCCTCCTGTCCTTCAGATACCAGCTTAAACATCACCTCCTCAGAAAACATCACCTCCTACCTTCCCTGACCACCTAATTTTTTTAATTTAAATTCAATTAGCCAAGGTATAGTACATCATTAGTTTTTGATATAATGTTCAATGATTCATTAGTTCAGTATAACATCCAGTGCTCATCACACCTGAACCTAATTAAAAGGAGCCTCAGAGTCGACTCTCTATTGCATCAGCCTTTAGCTTCCTCTAGCACGGAATACTATCTGAGGCCACCTCGAGCAGTGCTGCCCAATAGAACACGTTCTATATCAGTGTTGTTCACTGTGGTAGTCACTAGCCACGTGTGGCTATCAAGAACTTGAAATGTGACTGGTATGAATGAAAAACAGACACTTTAATTTAATGTAATTTTAATAAATTTAAATTTAAATAGCTCTCTGTGTCTAGTGCTACCACACTGGACAGTGCAGATCTAGTGTATATATGTCTTTACCCTTCTACTGTCTGTCTCCTCTTCTAAATGTAAGCTCCCCATATCTAGAAACCTTGTCAACTGTACCCCTGAGTCTAGAGGAATGTCTACACACATAAGTGCTCAGTTTGTATTTACTGTTCATGAAACAGATTGAGCGCCTTCTGTGTCCCTGTCCCTCCTCAACAGCTCTCAGAGCCTGGACACCTGGAGAAGAGCAGAGTCCTGCTTGGCCCCAGGTCCAGCTGACCTTTAGGGTCATGATTTATTTTGGTTCCTACGGGCATGCTCTAAGTCAGGAAAACTGAGGTCTCCTCCCACTTCCAAAGGATCTGCATCTCCAATGATTTATCCATCTCAAGTCAGAATCAAACTCATTTCTTAAGATTTTCTTTAGCATTGGACAGTTGGCTCACTGTTGAAAAGAAGCTCTACCAAAATGTGTTTATACACACTTATATTCCCAGAGAGTTCATGGTCAAATCCACAGGACAATTTTCCTTGCTTCTTCAACTGTCCTAATGCCCATGCAGAGGAGGAGACAGTTCATGGGAAATAACCTATCTCTGGACTCACAAAGTCTCCTTGAGCTCTGGAATGAGGACTGTACCTCCAGGAATCAACTACTCTTTAAAGGGAGAAAAATTAGAAGCAAAAAAACTCACCCCTGGTACTCGACAAAATAGTATATTATTTCTCCAGGCACAGTCACTGGGCTCCACGTCAAGAGATGCTTCATGTTGGTTGATTGTACAGAAAGGTTCTGAGGGGCAGGCAGGACGGTCACTCCATCTGGGTTTGAGGCATTTAGACAGGCTGACATGTGGGTTCGTATCAGAGGAATGTCACAGCTTCAAATTAGTTTCTAATGAAAGGCCTCACATGTTAATGAACGAGAAACAATTCTAATTTCATCATACTTATGTTGATGCTAAATTTTTGCTATCGTCATTGTAATTCTGCCTTTGGTGATAAATGGCATATTAACATTAATAATAATAATGGCTAATATTATGAGTATTTACTATGTTCTATCTAGGCCACATGGTAGATTGTTACATGATTATCTCATTTAATCTTCATGATCATATGGGGAGGTAAGGACCATTGGTTTCTCCATTGTACAAATGAGAAAACTGAAGCACATTATTTACAACTTCTATGTCAGATCCACCTAGATGCAGGCCTTGGCTCTGCCACTTACTAACCATGTGACCAAACCAATGCAGGCTCCTGCCACTTTCTCATTACCTCCTTCTCCGCTACTGCCATCCTCGGGGACGAAAACACATCCCTTCACATCCCCCAAGAAGCCAAATGGGGCATCAGCTGCCAGCTGGGAAGTGCAGGTTCAGGTCTGCTGTGGAAGGAATCCAATCCAGAAGGGCACCAAGCCAGATCAGAGACTCCACCAGGCAGACCACAGGCCCTAAGCCAGGTGGGACCCACACATCTCCTCACACAGGTGTGTGTGGTGTGCCCAGAGTGTGCCCAGAGTGGGTCTGCAGTTTTCACGCAGAATCAAAGAGACCTGTGGAAATGAACCTGCACTCCTAAGGAGGTGGGCAGTCCTGGGGTCCATCCTTGCATGCAACCCAGGGTGCAATCTGGATCTTCTGTTATGGCCCTTCTCCTCCCACTTTTACACACTTCTCTTTTAATGCCTAACACCTGCCTCCCTTTGCTGTTACAACTGCAGTGATAACATCGATAACAGTGTGGGAGGAATGGGGGCCCTCACCCGGGGTCTTTTCATCTCTGTGCCTGTCTCCAGATTGGCACCTGTTGTTCGTTATCAAGCCCTGTGACCACGAGGGGATGGGGAGCTGCTGGGGACATCCTGCCTGATGCCCTTGCTTCTCTGATGTAGGACCCTGGTGATACACCTCCATCTCAGTCACAGCATCCATAGCCTGCCCTGCAAGGAAACACCTGGGGTACCCATAGGGAGGCTTTCTACCCTCCCCACTCAACTTTGCAATCACCCAAGGGATGAAAAGGAAAAGAGCCAGCTGCAGTGGGATGGCACAGGAGGGTGGAGCATGGTCCTCTCCAACATCCTTCCTCTGGTAAAGTATACAACACATTTCTCTGGTCAGATATATGGGTATTATATAGCTATGTCAATGTACAACTATAATTAGTGATTTTTAAACTCTCAAAAATTAAATCTCCAGGCCCAGATGCTTTCACTGGAGAATGCCACCAATTATTAAAAAATAAATAAATAAATAAACACCAATTTTACACAACCTCTTAAAAAAATAGAAGAGAAAACCTTTCCAACTTATTTTATGAAGCTAGCATTACCCTGAAACCATAATCAGACAAAGATAGTGTGTGTTTTTAAAAACAAAAACAAAACCCAACAGAACAATGTATCTCATGCACTTAGATGCAAAAATCTTCAACAAAATACCAGCAATACAAATTCAATAACGTATAAAAAAGATCATACACCATGACCAACTGGGATTTATTCCAGGTATGCAAGGTTAGTTCAACATTTGAAAATCAATTAATGTAATCCACCATATCAATAAACTAAAGAAGAAAAATCATACAGTCAATAAAATCTAACACTCATTCGTGATGTAAAAAAGAAAACATCTCTCTTCAAGTTAAGAACAGCAGGGAGTTATCTCAATTTGATAAAGACCATCTATAAAAAACCTACAGCTGGTATCTTACGTAATGGCGAAAGACTAAACGCTTTCCCCCTAAAATCAGGAACAAGGTAAGGATGTTTACTCTCACCACTTTTATTCAACATAGTACTGAAAGTTGTAGCAACTGCCATAAGGCAAACAAAAGATGTAAAAGGCTTTACAGATTGGAAATGAAGCAATGAAACTCCTCCTGTCTGCAGTAACATGATAGGCTATATAGAAAATCCCAGGGAATTGGGGTACCTGGCTGGCTCAGTCAGTAGATCATGCAACTTTGGATCTCAGGATTGTGAGTTTGAGCCCCACATTGGGTGTTAGGTAATACTTAAAAAAAATAAAAGCAGAGGGGCGCCTGGGTGGCTCAGTTGGTTAAGCAACTGCCTTCGGCTCAGGTCATGATCCTGGAGTCCCGGGATCGAGTCCCGCATCGGGCTCCCTGCTCAGCAGGGAGTCTGCTTCTCCCTCTGACCCTCCTCCCTCTCATGCTCTCTGTCTCTCATTCTCTCTCTCTCAAATAAATAAATAAAATCTAAAAAAATAAAAAATAAAAATAAATAAAAGCAGAAAGAAAGAGAGAGAGAAAGAAAGAAAAAAGAAAGAAAACCCCATGTAATCTACAAAAAACAAGACAAAACAAAAACTTCCTAAAACTAATAAGTGAGTTCAGCAAATTCATAGGATACAAGATAAACAAAAAATTAATTGTACTTCTACATATTAACAATGAACACTTATACACCAAAGTTAGAAATACTATTGACAATCACTCAAAAAAAAAAAAAAAAAAAGAAATACTTAGGTATAAACCTAGCAAAACATATCTAGGATTTGTATGGAAAAAACTCCACAATGCTGGTGAAAGATTTCAAAGAAAATCTAAATAAATGGAGAGACATACTGTGTTGATGGATGGGACAATTCAACATAATTAAAACGGTAATTTCCCCCAAATTGATATACAGGTTAAATGTAATTCCTATCGAAATCCATCAAGGGTTTTTGTAGATATAGACAAGTTTTTTCTAAAATACATAAGAGGTAAAGGAACTAGAATAATTAAGACAATTTTGAAAAATAATAAAATGAGAGGAATAAATCTACCCAATTTCAAGACTTACAGTAATTGAGACTATTATGGTTTGGCAAAAAAAAAAAAAAATAGACATTTAGATCAATGAAACACAATAGAGGTCCCAGAAATAGACCTACATAAATATGCTCAAATGATTTTTGGCAAAGGTACAAAAGTAATTCAGTAGAAGAAGGATAGCCTTTTCAACAAACAATACTAGATCAATACGACATCTGTAAGACAAATAATAATTCTAATAAATCCCAGCCTAAATTCCACACCTTATTTAAAAATGAACTCAAAATGGATCATAGACTTAATGTAAAATGTAAAACTCTAAAACTTTTAAGAAAAAACATTAAGAAAATTTTCAGGGCCAAGCAGAGTTGATACCAAAAGCAAGATTCATAAAAGGAAAAATTTATAATTTAACATTATCAAAATTAAAACCCTTTGCTCTGCAAAAGAACCTATTAAAAGAATGAGAAGAGAGGCTACAGAGTGGGAGAAAATCTTTGCAAGCTACGTAGCTCACAAAGGACTCATGTCTAGAACATATAAAGAACTCTCAAAATTCAATAGTATAAAAGCAAATAATAATTAGAAAATGGGCAAAAGACATGAAGAGACATTCCACTGAAGAGTACATACAGATGGCAAAAAAGTACATGAACAGATGTTCAACATCCTTAGCTATTAGGAAAATGCAAATTAAAACCACAATAAAATAGCACTATACAGCTATCAGAATGGCTAAAATTTAAAAAAAAAAAAAAAGCCTGGTGAAAATGCAGAGAAACTGGATCACTTACACATTGCTGGTAGGAATGTAAAATGGTATTAGCCACTCTGGAAAATATGTTAGCAGTTTCTCATAAAACTAAACTTGTGATTACTATATAACCCAGCAATTTCACTCTTGGGCATTTATTCCAAAGAAATGAAAACTTATATCACAAAAGATCTGCACATAAATGTCCATAGACAAACTGGAATTAGCTCATATGTCCTTCAAGAGCTAAATAGTTAAACAAACTATAGTATATCCATCCATGGAATACTATTCAGCAATAAAAAGGAACAAACGAATGATACACAAAACAACTTAGGGAATCTCCAAGGAATTTTGCTGAATGAAAAAAGCTAATCCCAAAAGTTACATACTATATGATTCTATTTATATAACATTTTTGAAATGATAAAATTTTAGAAATTGAGAATAGATTAGTGGTTACCAGGGGTTAGTAACAGTGGGGAAGGGAAAGCGGTAAGAGGGAGGTGGGTATAGTTATAAAAGGCAACAGAAGGTATCATTGTGATGTTGGAAAAGTTCAGTATGTTAACTGTGGTGGTAAATACACAAAGCTATATACACAAATGAGTACAAGTCAAACTGGAGAAATCAGAATAAGATGGGATTATATCAATGATGTCAAAATCCTGGTTGTGATATTGTGCTATCATTTTGCAAAATACCACTGGGGGAACCTGGGCTCCCTGTATTATTTCTTATAATTTCATATGAATCTAGATTTTCCTCAACAAATTTTCAATTAAAAAATACAACTATGAAGTCATCACACTAAAAAAAATAGTATTAATTATGATTATCTGAATGACAGGATATATTTTAAAAGATCATGATGGGATAAACTCAGTATGAAATGTACCTAGGAAAAACATAAAGTTCTACAATTAGATCCAGTCAATTAAATCAGTGAGGGTGACCTGTTTAGGGGGAGTGACCTGATGATTAGGGCACTCAAGGATTTAAGCAACACACCCTGAGGTTGAATTACTGGGTATGTCTTTCTTCATGGGGGGCGCCCAGGCGGGAAAACAGCAAAAGATGTTCCAACTTTCAGGTGGCCCCATTATGTTAATGCAATAATTTGCACTCGCGTTACTCTCTTCTACTTGTGAATTTCCAAATCTAACTTGATTACGGGCAAAATACTCAGTGTCATTCCTGTATCAAAATGAAAACTGCTGCTTCTTGAGGCACCTGGGTGGCTCAGTTGGTTAAGCATCTGCCTTCAGCTCAGGTCATGATCTCAGGGTCCTGGGATCTCAGGTCCACTTATACACAGATCTCTTTTGATAAATACAGTACAATACTATAAT